GTGGCCTCCCCGCCCATGTGGTCCTCAGTCTAGCAGGAGAGACAGGCGTTAATCAAGCCATAAATAAATCACATGCACGTCCATGAACAGATGTGACCAGAGGTCGGGGAGACAGGCACAGAAGATGGGATCCGTCCGAGACCAGGGACGGCTTCCCTGAGGAGGTGGCGTCTGGGGACTGGGGCTCCATGTACCTGGCAGAGGGATGGGCTGGGAGCCCTTGCTCTCCCGCTTGCTGTGTGACCTCGACTGGCCAGTTTGCCTCTCTGAGTCTCAGTGTCCTCCTCTGGAAGATGGGATTGGGAATGGTAATTACAGTTTGGGTTGCTTTGGGGCTTAACCAAGCTGATGTGGTACCTGCTGGCTTGCAGTAGCCCAGTAGCTACAACGTTTATGTTAAAGTATCATCATTGCTAATGTTGTTATGAAAAAGCCCGAATCCCCAGAGGAGACAGAGCAGCAATTAGGAGGTGGTGCTGCCAGGAGACGTGGCTCTGGCTTGCCCCCAGGTGTTTGCTGTGCCCCGCAACCCGAAGCGGGCCCCGAGCTGATGAGTGAGCCAGCCAGCGTGCGGCAGCTCTGCTCTGTGGATGCTTGCTGGGTGATTCCGCCCTGGGGGCTGGGGCGGTGAGGGACCTTCTGACCCCTGGGGCCTGGCAGCCCGAGCCAGGGGAGGCCCCAGGCAGAAAGCATGCCGGTGTGGGGCTTCCCCGCAGTTACTCCTCCAGCTCCAGGGTGGGGGGCCCCAGAGGAGAGCTCCGTCCGGGGGCCAGGCCTCTACCAGGCAGGTGGGATTTAAGTACCCACTTACTTCTGGTTCCTCCCTCCCCCGAGTGCAGAGAGCCTGATGGCGACTTGCAAAGCCACGTGGCTGTGGTGGGCACACGGGCAGACCTGGGCACCTGCCTGGCGTGTGCTCCCCTCTGAAGAGGGTGAGGATGGGCCCTTCCTGTGTTGGCCGGGAGGGCTGGCGGGTAGGCTGGCAGGTGGGAATTCAGAGCACTGGGTGAGTCCTGCCTGGTCCCACGTGCCTCCTGCTGGGGCATGCCAGGAAAGTTTGTTTTGAAGTTGGGCTTACGGGTGACTTGGGACAGGGCTGTTGACCTGTCCCTTCAGGCCAGCCTGCTCCCCCTCCCCACGTCCCCTCCCCCTCTTCGGTCTACTCCAGCTACACTGACCACGCTCATTCCAGCCACAGGGCCTTTGTGCTGCTCTCTCTGCCCAGAAGGCCTTTTCCCTGGTGCCTTATCTGGCTCCCTCCCTCCCACGCATCCTGAAGGTCTTGGCATTAAGGCCATCTCCTTGGACAAGCCTTCCTTGCAGGTCCGCAGACTGGGCCAGGCCCCCGAATCGCGCCGCTCCCTGCTCTGCTGCTCACCTCAGGTGTGGGTGACAGTGGCCCGGTTTTTGCTCAGCATCCTTCCTCTGAGCCTCAGGCACTCCTCACAAGGAGGTCCCCACCTGGTATCTTTGGAATGAACAAACCTGGGTTCAGAGGGTGACCTGTGGCTCAGGGACTCAGGCAGGTTGCTGCTCCTTTGAACCTCAGTTTTTCAGTCTGTTAAACAGAAATATGTGGTGCCCCCATAGGAGGCTCAGTAAGGGGACAGTGTGAAGGGTGAGGTGGCACCACCGGGTAAGCCCTGCCCCCTCGCCCTTTCCTCCTCCAGGGCTGCTGGAGGAGCCGGACCACAGCCTGTCGAGCCCTGAGGAGGTGTTCCACTCCGGCCACTCCCGCAACTCCAGCTACGCCAGCCAGCAGTCCAGGATCTCCGGTGAGCGGCTGCCTGGCCCTGCCCCCGCGGCCTGCTGTGTCCCGGGATCCCCCATAATGACGCTCCCTCTCCGCTCACCCCGCCAGGCTACAGCACGGAGCACTCTCGCTCCTCCAGCCTCTCCGACTTGACGCACCGCCGAAACACGTCCACTAGCAGCAGCGCCTCCGGCGGCCTCAGCATGGCCGTGGAGGGCCCTGAGGGCAGTGAGCGGGAGCACCGGCCCCCCGAGAAGCCACCACGGCCGCCACGGCCCCTGCATCTGTCGGACCGCTCGTTTCGGTGGGTCCCACTTCTCTGCTCCCTGGGAACGGACCCTCCCAGTGGCTCCCTGAACCTCTCCTGCTTTACCTTGACACAGGACAGTAGGGTCCCCATCTCAGAGGGTTGGGTGGTGACGATTCAACCAGTTAGGGCTCAGCCCTGTCCTGGCATGCAGCAGATGCTCAGTCCGTGGCTGTGTTTGTCGAGAGCGTGGTCTGTGGGCCAGACCGACCTGGGGTTGAGCTTTAGATCCACCGCTCACATGCTGTGTGGCCTTGGTCAAGTTACTTAGCCTCTCAGTGCCTGGCATCCTCATCTATAAAACCAGATAACAGCCCCCTCACCCCAGCACGGTTGTGAGGGTTGAATGAAGCACAACGTGGAATGTGCATAGAACATTCTAAGCGCTAGCTCTTCACTGTTGTTTTGTTGTGCTTGTTGCTGCCTCACTGCTGTGACTCTGCCCCACCCCAGGCGGAAGAAGGACTCAGTGGAGAGCCACCCGACCTGGGTGGATGACACGCGGATCGACGCAGATGCCATTGTGGAGAAGATCATGCAGAGCCAGGACTTCACGGAGGGCAGCAACACAGAGGGTGAGCTGCCTGCGCCGCGCGGGCTGGGCACGATGTCGCCCGCTCCAGGGGCCGCCCTCGCCTTGCTCAGCCTCCATCCTCCCTTGTGTCCCCACAGACAGCAACCTCCGGCTGTTCGTGAGCCGTGACGGCTCCACCACGCTGAGTGGCATCCAGCTGGCCAACAGGTAGGGGCAGAGGCTCGGGGAGGGGTCACAGGGCAGCCGTGGGGTGCGGCAGTGAGAGCTGTCTCCGTGGCCCCCCTGATGAGCTAGTGCTGGGGTACAGCTGTGGACGACACAGGTTGCGCCCACGTGACAGTTTGTAGCGTGCCCTCTCCTACGCCCTCACTCAGAGCACGTTACTGTGTGCCTGGCTCACTGCGTCCTCTTGGCTCATTGGGTGAATGAATGAGGGAGGGAGGGAGCCTCCCACGTGCAGGCTGTGCTGAAGCATCCCCCATGTTCCTGTGGGCCGGGTGGGGAGTGCCATTGAACATCCGGACCCAGAGCAGGACGGCCTTGGCTGGGATCTGGGGAGCTGCCCCGCTGCCCCCTGCTGGCCGAGGCCTGAAGTTGCAGCCGCTGTCTCCCAGCTCGCCTCCTGGCTGCTCCAGGTGGGGTGGGCAGGAAGAAAACAGAGGGCGCCTCTGTGGAGGTTTGTAAACACCCCTCCCTAACCCCTCTGAAAATGAAGAGATGGGTTCAGGGGAGGGAAGAAACCAATCTGGCTGCAGCAACGTCATAGCAGAGCTGCGTGCCGAGCCCCGGATGTCCCAGCAGGCAGGAGAGCTATCAGGTTCCCCGACTTTCCCCTGTCCTCTTGGCAAACTTCACGGTCCCTGTGAGCCTCAGTTTCTTCATCTGTCAGTGGGACATGGTGCAGTCCCTGCCTGCCGGGGTTACTGTGGGGTAGGAGTGGCACTCCCGGGTATGCAAGCTGCCAGTAACCTGGAAGGGCTCAGGTACAGCCTGTGCCAGCTCTGCGGTCCCTGTGGACTCTGATACTTGCCATTGTGCCACCTCAGGCAAGTGACTTCATATCCCTGAGCCTCAGCGTTAGCCCCCTGCAAAATGAGGCCGGGTAACAGGGCCTGCTTTCACGTACCTCCAAGGGCCTGGCCCAGGGGGTGCTCGGTAAGTGGAGCGTTGAGGGGGACAAGCTGACCCATCTCTCCCCCGCAGGGTCTCTTCTGGGGTCTACGAGCCAGTAGTGATTGAAAGCCATTGAGCAGGCGCCCAGGCTGGAGAAGGATCCTGCCTTTTCGGGTGTCCAGACCCGCGTCATTCCACGAGGAACCTTCCCATTCGGATCACCATCCTCACTGCATCTCTTCCGTGCCTCTCCACTCCAGCCCACACCTGTCCCCCAGGCATCATTCCACTGTCCTCCCATCCACGCCGGGAGCCCCCTGGCCTGCCTGCGAGGGCCCAGGCACCACTGTGAATATTCTCCTCTGAACCACTAGAGGGCAGGACAGGCTGGCCCATGCAGCCGGTGGGCAAGACCAGACAGCCAGACTGCCCCTGCTGGAGAGCGACCTGGCCCCCTCGGCCGCGGACATGTCGCAGCTCCTAAACGGGGGGGTGTGTGTGTGTGGCTGAGGGCCTGTCCACTCCAGGAGCCCTGGCTTCAGTCACGCCCTGGCTCCATTGCCCCCTTTCCCGGGGGGGGCCAGACCACCCCCAGAATCCTGCCACCTGTGACCCTTTGACTGTTTAGTGCTTCAGCTGTCCCTTCCCTGGGTCCTGGGGGATCTGCTGGCAGCCTCCTCCTGGGAGCCACAACCTCAGACCCTCCCCACACTCCAGATTGAGAGCCCCACCTCCCCCAACAAATGTTCTCCTGCTGCCCTGGCAGCCTGCATTTTGCACGTGCTTGTCCCCAGCACAGCCCCCCTGGCCCTCTCCTCCCCTTCCCCTGTCCCCTTCCCAAGGACTCCTGGTCACTGCCCGCTGTGCAGTCAGAGGCCCGGGGTCTAGCAGCCCGGCTGGAACGGGCTGCCTCTCCTCCCTCCACTTAGCTCCAGCTCAGGCCTGAGACCGGCGCTGACAAAGGTCTGAGCACCGACGGTGCCCTCTGCCCAGGGCTGGGTCCTGAGCAGCTGGTTTCCTGCAGGAAGGTTGGGGCAAGGGGAGCCCCTTTCTCTGCCCTCAGGGTCAGCTGGCCCAGCTGGGGCGCCTCCAGAGAGGCAGGTGGGCTGTGACTGGACCGCCTAGAGCTGGCTTCCTGGCCGGAAAAGCCTCAGCCTTCCTCTGGAAGCATCCCCCATTCTGGGCAGGGGAGAAGTGGGGTCCTTTAAGGGGTGTGCTTTCCCAGCGGGGAGCAGTCTGGCCCTGCCCCTGGCCCCTACCCTCACTGAAGCCCCTGCTCTCAGCACTTTCCCCCCGGGTCCTCGTAACCTGCTTGCAGGTGGGTTTCAGCTGCCAGCCAGTCCCTGGACAGACTCCCTTACCCCTTTTAAATTTCACTCGTTCCGTTCCGTATAAACCCAGCAGGCTGGTGTTTACTTAGCCCTGTAGCTTTTTTTTCTTTCCTTTCTTCCTTTTTTTTTTTTCTTTCTTTCTTTCATTGAGTTCACAGTTCAATATTGCCTCCTCCCCCAGGTGAGGGGAGGTGCTTCTCTTCTCTGCCCCACCTGCCGGCTGGGTCCAGCAGGCTGGGGACCCAGCTGGGGGCTGGGATGCTGGTCCTCTCTGGGGGGTGCGGGCGACCTCCCCAGGCTGGGAGTGGTCCAGGTCCCCAGCTGCCCCAGCTGGCCAGAGTTAGGGTTCTTGGTCTGGGAACTCCCTGGCATTGGGACCAGAGCATTTCTAGGGTTTTTGTTGTTTTACTTACCTAACTCTTTTAGAAAATGAATGTTGGAAGGTGCCTGCCGAGGCAGGATGGAGCGTTCGCTCAGGCTGGAGAAGGCTCTGGTCAGCCCTGCGAGTCCCTTTCTGCCCCACGGATACTGGCACTTTAAAAGGAAGCTGGCCACACGGTCTCCAGATGAATTGGCCCCCTGAAGATGGGGGAGCGCTGTCCTTCCCTTCCGTGTCTGCGTCACCTCACCCAGCCCAGTGGGGAGGTGCATGCAGGGTAGATTTGGGATCTGATTTGAAGTTCTGGGGCCACAGGCACAAAACAGCTGGGTTTGGTGCTGCTGGGGAGACTCCAAACCAGGAGTCCAGCCCCACCCCAGCCAAGGTCTGGGCTTAAGAGTCACCCCAGAAGGAGATCCAGCCTGCCACATCCTCCCACACAAGGCCCTGGGCCAGGGTAATTGGACCAACTGAGATTCGGCCACAACCAAATTGTCACTGGCTGGAGCAAGAGGCCTGGAGCCCTGGCCTCATGCCTGTGAGGGACACCTTTCTTCACCCCTCTTGTCCCCTTGAGCTCAGCGAATTCCCACCAGGTGCCCACAGCTCCTGGACTTCAAATTCTATATATAGAGAGATGGAGAGAATATATTAGAGATATTTTTGGAAAGGAATTGGTCTATGCAATGCCAGTTTGGAATCTTCTTGAAAGTTTAACGTTTTTACCAGGAGATTTAAAGAAAATAAAGGTCTACTATATTTTTAAGATTTTTTTTCCTGTTAAACCCCACAAACTGACCACATGGCATGATCTGCCAGGAGGGGAATGTCCATGTTTTCCTCTGTCTTTAGTGAGGTGATTGAGGAAATGGGGGAGGGGCCTTTTTTTTCTTTAATCCCCCCGCCTTTGTAAGAGAATGCTGCCACCACTACTTCCAGTTCAGTGGGCTGTGTTTGTATCTGTGTCCCAGCTTCTATTGTAGAAAATAACATTGTAAGGGGAAATCAGCCTAATGTCAGTGTCTTGGTTTGGGGAAAAGAAATTAAATATTGCGGATTTTGTTTTGCTGAGTTTTTTTTTTTACCTTGTTACTTTACCACGTTGACTTTGGGGTCAAAGACAACATGAGAAGGAAGCCACATGTATAAGGCGACATTCCACGGGTGGGGAATATATAGGTGGCCAGGTTTCTCTCAGTCCTGACTGCAGTCACAATTATCACCACCTTTATTGCTGCAGAGTCCTGGGGAAGAAACAGTCCCAGCTGGGCAGTTACTTGCCACACCTAGTGACAGCTTTGACCTCTGAACCCAAGTTCTAACCACTGCTCTGTGGACCTTCCCTGCAATCAGGTGGCCTCTAAGGAGCATGCCTGGGGACAAATAACTGTGCCTCAGTTTCCTCAGCTGCAAATGGGGTTATGGATCAAATGAGAACATGGGTATACAGCCTGCACTACAGGAGGTGCTGGCTGTGTTCCCAAACTCGAAAGCCTCGGGCTGGCATTGTCTACAGCTTGGTCTGGGCTCCTCACCCCTGTTCCTGACTGTCCCAAGTTACACAGGAGCTCAGTGGCTTAGCCTTAGCCAAACTTTGGGACAGCCAGGTCACTCTGGGCCTTTAACAAGCTCAGAGATAGCAGGAAGCCTCAGCAGTTTTGGCCAGGCCAGAAGGAACTGGGCCACCAGGCCTCTGTCTTTGCCCCAGAACCGTCATTATCCCCACCCCTTCTTAGGGCTCACCCTCACTTGTGCCCCTTTAAACCCTGAAGGGGGTTCTCAGTCCCCTCCTCTGTTCTATGCACACCTGGGCAGGGAGGGAAAAGTTGGCTCCCAGCTGAGCCGTCTGTCCTTAGAGAGTGGCGAGGAATAGAATTGGGCTGTAGGAGAAAAAGGGCTGATCGTGTCAGCTTTGGGAGGGCAGCCCCATGGAGAGGGGCTTTGATGACAGGAGATAAATGCTGCTGGTGGGAGCAAACTATGCCAGGCCCAGACAACATCTCTCCCCTGCCCACTCAAGTGGAGACAGCAGGCCAAGGATCTCCACAACCAACTCGGGGCATTCCAAGATCTAAAAAAAAATTAACTGATTCTTAAAGCTGGTTGATTGATTCAAAGCTCCTGCTTTGTGCCAAGCCCCTTATTGGTGCTGGGGATACAGCAGTGACCACAGACCCTAGCCTTGGGGTGCTTACAATGTGGGCCAGAGCAACTGAGTAAATCAGCTGATCCAAACACATAGGGGGCCTTCCCATGGGCCTGTCCGAAACCTCTGGTGCTGCGACACCCAGGGCCAGAGAGGCAGACGGTGAAGGGAAGTAGGAGAAACCCAAAGGGTCGCCAGGGAAGCCAGGCGATGGGCGAGGGGGCGCCCTCTCTCCCTCAGTCGAAATCCTCCCCATCCATGCCGGCTCTGCCAGGCCCTCCTCATCCTGTCCCAGGCCGGGCTCTGCACCCTTCCCCTCAGCAGACAAGTTAGGGCCTGAGGACCAGGCAGTAGAGCTCCATGTCGGGTTCCAGTGTCGGCTTCGCCACTGACTCCTGTCTCTGAGCCTCACTTTCCCCATCTGAAAAATGCGACTTCCAATCCTCCACCCCCATCCCGCTCTGGCTTTGGGACTCTGGGATGTTTAGAGATGGGTCTTGGTGGGGGGGACAATCCCGCAAGACTGTGGCCACAAAAGCCAGACAGTCCGGGTTCCCAACTCGGTCCCATTCCCTAGTTTCGGGGACCAATCTGCCCCATGACGCCCTCGAGAACTACATTTCCCGACATGCAAAGGGAGGCGGGGCCTGCCGGTCTCGAACCACGTGTTCCTGGGCCAGCCTGAGAACTACGACTCCCGGCGTGCTCCGCGCCCCAAAGCCAGAAGGGCCCGGATCCGGAAGCGGATGCAGCTTGGTGCTCTGGTGGCGGAGCGCCGAGGAAATGGTGAGATTGGGGCCGAGTGCTTGGCTGTGGGTGTCTAGGGTGAGCTCTGGGGTCTGCTCGGGAGCTGGGGCTTGGGTACTCGGAACCGGGAGTGCTCTCTCCCGCCTGCTCACTGTACGCATGAAAACGCAGAGGCCTGGCACTCTCTGCCAGCCTAGAAACTGATCCCTAGTCAGCCCTCCCTAGCATCGGATGAATGAATGGTAAGCTTAGAGCGTAATCAGGCCGCGACGGCCCCCGTCCATTAGTGCCCCTAAATGGAGAGTCACTTCGTCAGCTGAGGTGTCCTTTTTCTTCAGGCCACGGGGACAGACCAGGTGGTGGGACTCGGCCTCGTCGCCATTAGCTTGATCATCTTCACCTACTACACGGCCTGGGTGATTCTCTTGGTATGTCTGTCTCTCCCGCCCTCGGCTCGCCTTCCCCATCCTTGGGTCTTTAAGCCGACCCACAACACCATTTAAGCAGCTACTAAGTGCCAGATGCTGTGCTAGGTGCTATACCTGCCTGAGCTCATGAAATCTCCAGAACAGCACTACAGGGAAGAGGCTAGTGATGTCTGCATTTTGTAGATGAGGGAGCTGAGGCTCAGGGAGAAGGGTCTGGCCAAGGTCGCATACTTAACCGCTGCACTTAAAGCCCTGTGCGGTGTTTGTTTTGCCTTTTGGGGGGAGTTCTGGTTCTGGTTAGCCTGCCAGCCGTGGACATGGTGGACACCAGTGGATTTTATAGGGCTTTTAGGATGTTTTTTTCATGTGGGAAAATTTATTGGTCATTGCTTAAGAAGTACAGTGTGTTTGGAAGACAAAATCTTGCAGAACTTGGTATCCTTTGGAGAAAGATGTTAGTAAAGAAGACCTAGGCCGGGAGCGGTGGCTCATGCCTGTAATCCTAGCACTCTGGGAGGCCGAGGCTGGAGGATCGTTTGAGCTCAGGAGTTCGAGACCAGCCTGAGCAAGAGCAAGACCCCATCTCTACTAAAAAAATAGAAAGAAATTAGCTGGACAACTAAAAATATATATATAAAAAATTAGCTGGGCATGGTGGCACATTCCTGTAGTCCCAGCTACTTGGGAGGCTGAGGCAGAAGGATCGCTTGAGCCCAGGAGTTTGAGGTTGCTGTGAGCTAGGCTGATGCCATGGCACTCTAGCCTAGGGAACAGAGTGAGACTCTGTCTTAAAAAAAAAAAAAAAAATAGAAGACCTGGGAGCCCAGGTGGGGAGTCACTCAAGGATTCCTCAGGTACCTTTTGCTAGACTGTGGGTGCCTTAGGGCAGTTCTCTTGGCTTTTGTTCACTGCCAGGTTCCCAGCACCAACGTAGGGCAGGCACCAAGCAAGTGCCCAGTAAATAACTATTAAACAAATGAATGAAGGAAACAAGCCACAGCACCCCAGATGCCATCGTCCTAAAGATGATAGGTCCCTTAGATGGAGGGGGTGGGGTGTTTGGGCTGGGGGCTGGGCGAGGCGAGCGCTGCTCACCAGAGCTCTGCCTTGGCTGCCAGCCATTCATCGACAGCCAGCATGTCATCCACAAGTATTTCCTGCCCCGGGCCTATGCTGTCATCATCCCGCTGGTGGTAGGCCTCCTGTTGCTCCTGTTTGTGGGTAAGTCACCCCCTCACCAAAGCCCCGACCCTGGGCAGGGTGTCTGGGGGGCCCCACCTCTGAAATTACTTCCACATTTTGACACTTGCTGTACATCTGCTTGAGGCTCCTTGCCCCCAACTCTCCCCTGGGGTTTTCCCGTTCCTCCTTCAAGGCCATGGTCAGTAACTCCTCTGAGCTTCCCAATGCCTCAGGCTTTTTGGACTCTAATGACTCCCTTTTTCCCGCTCCCCCCATCACTCTGCTCACACCTCAGTTGCCTCTCACCCTCTTGTCGCCCTGGCTTCTAATTACTGCACCTCTCTATCTCTCATGGCTTCACAGGGACAGGGACTATGTCTCTATTGTTACTATGTCCTCAGCACCCAGCACAGGAAAGTAGTTTTGACGAGTCAGTCAACAATCAGATGCCTGGATGATGGGGTAGATGGGTGGGTAGGCAGATGGGTGGGTAGGCAGATGTTGGGTTGGCAGGTGGTTGATTGGTTATGGATAGATGGGTGGGTCTTGTTCCCTTTAGAATCTGAAACACTAAATGCAACATTTTGCCTGAGGTAGGCACTCCGTTGGTGTTTGTTGAATGAATGTGAGTGGATGTGTGGCTTGAATGACTGGGGAGACAGCAGGTGCCCTCGAGGGTGGTTGGGTAGGCACATGGCCTTGCATGTGGGTTGCCCTGCCCTACCCTGCCCTCCCAGCATCCCCGAGCCCAGATCTTACCTGGCCATTCTGGTTTGTATATTCCAGGGTTGTTCATCACCTACGTGATGCTGAAGAACCAGAGGGTGACCAAGAAAGCTCAGTGAAGGCCCAGCAGGGATGAGGCTGCCAGCGCCTTCTCAGCCTCCTCTCCAGGACAGGGACCAAGGGTGGGAGCCCACAGGACTGGTCCAGGCACTGTGGCGCCCTCCAGCCTGGCTGCCCTCCGGACATCCCTGTGGGATGGAGCTGTTCAGGACTCACCCCTGACTGACCGGAGCCCTGCTCCTCCCCTGGTCACCCTTCCAGAAGCCAGGAGGGAGGAGCACCCGGGAGACGTCTCACCCCCTCTGGCTTGGGCATGAGAGATGCTGGTTCTCCCTACCTCACCGTCAGACTTCCCGTCACTTTTTCCTCTGGGTTCTACCATCTTGCCTCAGCTTCCCTCCTTTCACATGCTGATACTGGACTTGGCAGGTTCTGAGGCGGCACATGGCCTTTCTGACCTCTCCCCACAAGTCCTGCTCCTCTACGAAGGCTGCTTCCTTGGCCTGACACAGCCCCAGACCCCACGAGGACTTCTGGACCCGGAAAGCCTAGGAGGACTGACAGACCCCAGAGCCGCCACCACGTCTCGGCACACAGGGCAGCCACGTCGGCCTCCTGGCCAGCCATTCCTCGTGGAGGCCCAGGCCCAGCCCCAGGGCTGGCCTGTGTGGGGAGCTTACCAATAAACACTGGTTTCATGTTTGTCTCTGTGCCGTCCTTACCAGAGGAGGGGGCTGGGAGGTGGCCCCTGCATTGGTTTCAGGTCATAAGACCCTGGTGTGTATAGTGAGGGTGCCTCAGGTGCCTCCTCGGCCCTGTCCCTGTGCTGGACTCTGGAGACAAAGCTGGGACTAGGACAGATGTGCTTCGGACTCAGTGGAGCTCACAGCTGTGAAGCCCCTCTGCCCCTCTGCCAGTGTGGCCAGGACGGACTTACTATTTTAGGGATCCTTGGGCCACTCCCCTGAAAGCCCAAGCCCCCCGTCATCCATCTCTTGCGTGCGGCAGCGCGACTTAGCCAAGCCCTGAGCGACAAAGGCTGCTACTGGGTCAGAGCAGGGCTGCTGTGTTCAGGGTAGCTGATCGGCCACAGGCCCCAGTCTGTGGCAATCCCGCTGTGCCTGAGCAGCCTCTCCCGTCCCAGCACCCAGTGTGAACCAGCCCCCGAGCCTGGGACGTTCGCTTTCCCCCCAGTTAGGGAAGGCTTCTCCCTCATCACAGAGGAAAAGGGCCAAGTGCAAACATGCCTGCCCTCCCTTGCCTGTGTTGCCTGTCCTCTGTCCTCCAGGCGGAGCTGCCCACTTGGGCTTTGGGTCCTTTCTCCCCACTGCTGTGGCAGAAGCCTATGTCACCAGTGGTTCCTGTCGTGGGAACAACCTCTCCCTCTCCCATTGTTTCCCAAATGTGCTCCAGGCTCCCCTTACAAGACCCTCCATCAACCCAGCAGCTCCCTCCCAGTTCCCCCCCCCCTTCCACTGCCAAACTGCCCCAAAAGGGTGTCCACACCTCCCCTCCTGCTGTGCCCGGCATCCGCCCTGTCACTCAAGGGAGACCACACCCCCTGAGGCCACCAGTGATGCCCATTCTTTAAATCCAAAGGATGTTTCCTTGACACTCTGCCACATTTGGCGCATGACATCTCCTGGATCTGCCCTCAGACGCTCTCTTGGTGTCTGTGATGAGAGTTCTTGATGCCTCTCATGTTCTCTTCTGCCGTGGGCTCCTCAGGGCTTGGTCACAGGCCTTGTCACCCACACCCTCCCGTCCTTTCCCAGGCTCGCCTCCAGCCCAGCTCTCCCCTTTGGGCCCCAGCTGTGCACCTGACACCCTCACTGGATGTTGCGGTGGGACCTCGATCCATCCGGTTGTGAGCTGAATTCTTAGACTTTCCCCAACTCTGGCTCTCCTCTCATGCCTGCCCCCTCTCGTGGCTGGCTGGCATCCTGTGTCCCCACTGTAGCTTTCTTCCCCCACCCCCCATCCACAAGACCCCAAATCCCATCAGTTCTCCCTTTCTCCCAGCCATCTTCTGGATGTGCAGCCACTGCTCTCTGCCCTAAGTCAAGGATGGCTTCCTCAACGCTCCCCCCGTCTCCCCGCCTGCTCTGGCCCCCTCCAACCTATGCACAAAAACCAGTGGCCTTTCAAAAACCCATATCCAAGCGTCTTTCTCACACTCACGCGATGTTTCTCTGGGTCCACACCCGTCTCCCTAGGACAGCCTACAAGGCCCTGGCTGCTTGCTCGCTTTCTCTCTCCCGTTCAGTCCGGCTACGCAGGCCTTTCGCTTCCTGGGACTGGCCCAGGCCCTTTGCATACCCTACTCACATCGGTTCAGAATAAGACCAGCGTGCTTCCTGCCCTTGTGGCATTTCCATTCTAGAGGGGAGGTGTAGTAAACAAATAAACGAGCAAGACTATCTCGGACAGTGTTCAGGGGGATAAAGAAAATAAAGGTGATGCGATCAAGAGTAGGGGGAGGGGACGCCTGGTTAGAGCGGGCGAGATAACAAGGCAAGTGAAAGTCTGGGAAAAGAATTGTGAGGGTTTGGTGGCCGAGGAACTGTAGGGGCCTGTGTGGCTGAGTGGTGGGTGTAGGGAGAGTGGACGGACGGGCCTGGGGCCATGGTGAGGAGTTTGGATTTTGTTCCATTGCCCTGGGAAGCCACTGGAGGCTCCAAGCATGAGAGTGACATCATCTGATTTACGGTTTTAAAAGATCACGCTGGCAGCTGTGTCCCTCCCTCTCGCTCACCACTAAATCCCCAGGGCCTGGCACTACTGGCTCAAAGTGGGCGTTCAAAACATGTGTGTTGAATGAATGGATGCCCTGACTCTCCTGTGACCTGGAGGCAGTCACCTTTTTCTCTGCATCTTAGTTTCCGCACACGAGAAAGTCAATGAGAATTTCACGGCAGAGTGGGTGGGCGGGACAGGATTTAGGTTACTCGCTTCCAGGCAGCCCCCAGACCCGAGTCCCCCACCCCAGCGGGGAAAACGGGGGGACTCTCCCTCTCGGGGACCCTAGCCAAAGCCGGACGGCTCCGCCCCGCCTGGGCCGCGGTCCGAAGGATGCTGCAGCCGCGGGGGCGGGACCCGCCGGCGATCTCCAGCGCCCCCCACGCGGATTGGGCGCTGCCGTGACCGGCGCCGCGCGATTGGTCGGTCGCGAGGCAGGGGCGGGGCCTAGCTCCCGCAGCGCGGCGGCAGGGAACTCACCCAAAGCCCGGAAAGCTGCAGCGGGGGCGATGGCTGCGCCGAGCCCGGGGCCCCGCGAGGTAGGTGCAGACCCGAGAGAGGACAGGAGAGGGAAGGGGTAGTGGGCAGGGGCCGGGCCTCCCGTCGTGAGCGGCGCGGACACGCCCCCATCCGAGCGGGGAGGGGCCCTGCCCTGGGTGAGGACCAGGACACGCCCCGCGTGGGGGGGCAGGTATGGAGGGGGCGGTCTGGCGGGTATCCCCGAGGACTCCCGCAGTTTCCTCATTGAGGAAACGGGGACGATGACAAAAGCTCCTGCTGGTGTGATCCCAGCGTGGCGCTGACCCTCCGCGGGGCCTGGGGGGCTCAGCGTGCACGAGGGAAGTAGATGGACTGAATCGCAGCATCACAGCTCCTACTGTCCAGGGTTCCTGTGCAAGGAGCTCAAACCAACAGCAGTAACAGCTAATACCTGCCAGGAAGGAGTTAGAGTTCTCACGTGACAACTGAGACAATAAGGCACGGAAAGTTTAGGTGACTTACCTAAGATCACACAGCAGGTGAGAGACGCTCAGTCTCGGCCAGGTTTGACTGCCGCAGCATGCTCTACCGACTGACCGTGTAACCATCACTCTATGTGGGTGCCGACTACATGCCAGGCGCCATGTGGCCCCTCACAAACACCTGGGGAGGAGGGTACCAGCATTATCCCAACTTTACAACTGAGGAAACTGAGGCAGAGAGAGATGGGGGAAGTCTCACAAGTAGAGGGAGTGGGACTTGACCCAGGGTCATTCCCCTCTGAGATGCTGCCACATGGTCTTTGCTTTCTGTGCCTCCCCCCACCAGGTCCTGGCCCCCTCCCCAGAGGCTGTGCGCAGAGCACCCACCTCCAGCTCCAGCTGCCGTGGGCTCCTCTGGCGCCTGCGAGACAAGCAGTCTCGCCTCGGCCTGTTTGAGATCAGCCCGGGGCACGAACTGCATGGGATGATGTGTATGATGCAGGCGGGGCTGTGGGCTGCCACCCAGGTCTCCATGGATCACCCACCGACGGTGAGTGGCCAGTCTGTCCTATGCATCCCCACACCAATGGCAAGCCTGAGCTGGTGCCCTGCCTTGCTAATACTGCAGACCTGGGGATCAGAGAGCGCTATCGGGGCAGAAGGCAGGGAGGGAGGAACATTCTGGTGGAAGCTGGAAAGCCCAGGGTTGGGGGTGGGAGGACCCCCAGACTCAGGTGGTTGCTGTGTGACACCAGGTGCGCCTCTGCCTATCTCTGAGCTTCAGTGGCCCCATCTGTATAATGGAGGGGGATTGTACTCTTGGTTTCTGAGGCCCTCCCAGCCCTGCCAGAGTATATGGTTGAGAAGGGACCCCACCCCCACCCTGCCAGCCTGGCCTGTCCTCTCTGGAGCTCAGGCTGGGGCCAGGCTGGCTCAGCAGAAAGGGTCACCCAACTGCAAGCTCAGCAGCTGGGCAGGCTCTGGTGAGCATGTGTGTTGTCTGTGTGTGTGCATGTGTGCACAGTGTGACCACATCCCACAGGCCAAGTCCTGGCGCAGGGACCTGGAGGTCCAGGGAGTGTAGGGGCCTGAGAGAGTCCTCTAAGCCACAACCTGACCTCATCACCTGCTGAAAATCTTCCATGGCTCCCCAGTACTCAGCATGGCCTCGACAGCCTGCAGGCTCCAAGGGCTAAGTGTCCAGCCTTGTTCATACACCACCTCCCTTACTGGCTGCAGCCACTCAGGCCCTTCTTCCCTTGCTGGTGGCCACCAATGCTGTTTCACCACTGTGAGCACCCTGCTCCTCTCCACTTCCCTTCAGATTTCAGCTCAGAGGTCGCCGTTCCCAGGAAGCTTCTCTGATCCTGCCCCTCCCAGGCTGTGTCAGGCAGGTCCGTGGCTTCAGGACCATGCCCTTGTACTGGGATGGAATCTAGCTGGCTTGCGGTGGTTGAGACACACCACATACATCTGCCTCAAGTCACCCTTGTCCTCCCTGCAGCCCATCTGTCCACCTCAGGCACACCCAGAGACAACTCAGGTCCCTGTTTCCTGAAGGAATGAAACCAGAGGAAGGGGGCTAGGCCAGGTGCGGGACACTTGGTGATCCTGGGGCAGGCAGTGGGGGATTGAGACTTGCCCTGAGTTCCTCTACCCTCCCTGCAGGGGCCGCCCTCCCAGGAGGACTTCTCCGAGGTCCTGACCCAGGTTCACGAGGTAGGAAGCCCAAGACTCCTGCGCGGGAGGGGGTATGTACCCGTCTTAGCTCTCTCTCCTCCTCAGTTTCCCCATCTGTGCAGAGGGAGTGATGGCTTGCCTAGGAGCTTTGCAGGAAGGGTGTGGTCACCCTGACCCTCCAGCACTAGGGCCAGCTGGGCACCTGGACTCACGTGGACACTCTTGGGACTGCTCTTCCTCCCCCATAGGGCTTCGAGCTGGGCACTCTGGCTGGTCCAGCCTTTGCCCGGCTGCGCCGCTGCCTAGGCCTGGCAGAGGAGGACTATCAGGCTGCGCTGGGCCCCGGCGGCCCCTACCTGCAGTTCCTCAGCACCTCCAAGAGCAAGGCCATCTTCTTCCTGTCGTGAGCTTGCTCGGGCTGGGGCAGGGGTGAGGGTGGTGCTCTTGGGGGGAGGGAGGGCAGAGCCGTGGGGAGTGCTCCCTGGGGAGAGGACCAGAGCAGCCAAGGCCAGGAAGGGTCTGGGCCGGATGGAGGTCCGATGCAGGGAGGAGAGACTGAGGGCGAGGGGCGCAGGCGAGAGGGGCGGTGGCGAGGCTGGGAGCCGAGACTCGGGAGAGAGATCCACGTGCACAGGCCGGGGCAGGGGGACCGGTGGGAGCCGCTCCAGCCCAGCCTGGGCAGTGACCTCTCCCTCCCGCCCCCCAGCCACGACCAGCGCTTCTTCCTGAAGACCCAGCGGCGCCGGGAGGTGCGGGCGCTGCTCGCCCACCTGCCCCGCTACGTGCAGCACCTGCAGCGGCACCCGCACTCGCTGCTCGCCCGGTTGCTGGGTACGGGGGCTGGGGGAGGGGGTCGGTGGGGTCTGGTCCTAGGTGGTAACGCATCAGGGAAGGCGGGCGCCTGTGGGCGGGGCCATGTTCTGGGGTGGGCCCAAAGGGGCGGGTTTGGGATTGGACGTCCTAGGGGAGGGAATGTGGGCGTGGCCATGCCTGTGGGCGGGGCATCACTGGGCTGGGTCTAGGGGTGGGGTCCAGTCGCACATGGACTCCAAGCCAAGGAGGGGGTCTGGGGGCGGGGCCTAGAGGGATAGGCTCAGGATGCGGCGGATCTTGAGAAGGAGGAATGACCTGGGGCTCGGGCTGGGCCCGGGTGGACCCGGGGTTGTGGAGTTTGGGGCCCTCACCTGGCGCCCTCTCACCTGCAGGAGTGCACAGTCTGCGGGTGGCCGGGGGAAAGAAGGTGGGTGAGGCCAAAGCGAGGTTGCTGGGCGGAGGGGCGGCTGCAGGGTGAGAGCCTGGCTTCCCTCACTCCCTATCCCGGTCCCCAGACGTACTTCATCATCATGCACAGCGTTTTCTACCCCGCCGGCCGCATCTCCGAGAGGTGAGTCCGCGGCAGCAGGCCTCAGGGCCCGACCCCACCTGGAACGTGCCCCCTGAAGCACCCACACTCACTAGGTAGACAGCGAAACTGAGGCCCAGGAAGGAGAAGAGAGGATCACACGATCTGGCGGGTGGGAGACAGTGACAACCACGGCCAGCATCCCTTGAGCACTCAGTATGCCTTAGGCGCCGTGTTGAGCCATTTGTATTCTTTTTCTTTTGTTTTGTTTTCTTTTTGAGACAGGGTCTTGCTCTGTGTGCTGGGCTGGAGTGCAGTGACGTCATCCTAGCTCGCTGCAACCTCCAACTCCTGGGCTCAAGCGAGGCTCCGCCTCAGCCTCCCCAGAAGCTGGGACCACAGGTGCACTCCACTATGCCCAGCTAACTTTTAAATTTTTTGTAGAGAGGGGGTTCTCACTATGTTGCCTAGGCTGGTATTGAACTCTTGGCATCAAGGGATCCTCCTGCCTCAGCCTCCCAGAGTGCTGGGATTACAGGTGTGAGCCACTGTGCCCAGTCTATCACCTTCTTAACTCCCAGAATGACGCTGAGGGCCAGCTGTTGTTCTCCTCATTTTATGGATGAGAAACTGAGGAAGGTTCAGAAGGCCACACAGCTAATGTGCGAGGAGCAGGTATTGAAACCCGGCCTCCCTGGCTGCACAGAGCCTCTGCGCCTTCCAGCCCTGTTCTGCCCACAGGTTCCCCATCACCGCTTCCTCAGCGCCATCAGCTTCCCTCATGCCCTCCTGGTGCTGCTGTCTAGGGAGCCCTGTGTCTGGGACACCCTCAGTGATGACAAGGTGCCAGGAGGCAGGCACAGGCAGGGCTAAAGCCTGGGTGGGCCTGCAAAGGCCTGTGTTTGAACTCCTGCTCTGCTCTTTGCTTACCGTGTAGCCTGGGCAAGTCAGAGGAACTCTCTGAGCCTGTCTCTTTATCTTTAACTTGGAGACAGTAAGGGAGCAGGGCTGTGCTGAGGACTAGGGACAGTGCAGGCAAGGAGTTTAGTGCTTACATCAACAGTCACCAGTGGAAGCTCTTGTTTCTAACTATTACCTTGCGAGGTTCCCTGTCTGTGTCAAATCTATGAAAAGCTGAATTCTGCACCCCCATCTCCCAGGTATGACATCAAGGGCTGCGAGGTGAGCCGCTGGGTGGAGCCAGCCCCTGAGGGCAGCCCTGTCATCCTGGTGCTGAAGGACCTCAACTTTCAGGGCAAGACCATCGACCTGGGTAAGCCACGGGGAGGTCCCTGCCCACTCTTCATCCATGCAGGGTGAAGTTTAGACGGGTGCCCACACAACCCTCTGCATGAGTTGTTAAGAGCCCAGATTCTGGTGTCAGAGCAGAGTTCAAATTCTGGCTCCACCATTAATAGCTAGGTGACCAAGGCAAATTAGAGATGACTTTCCTTATTTGTGAAATGGGGACGGTAATGACACCTGCCGTCGCTGGGCAGGAGCGCGTGGAGCACGGTGGCCGGCCCACGCTGAGTGCTCAGGTGGGGGCACCGATGCTCTGGCAGGGCCCCAGCGGACCTGGTTCCTCCGCCAGATGGAACTGGACACCGCCTTCCTCCGGGAGCTCAACGTGCTGGATTACAGCCTCCTGATGGCTTTCCAGCGTCTCCACGAGGATGAGAGGGGCCCAGGCAGCAGCCTCATCTTCCGCATGGCCAGGTGAGCCCCGCACAGGGGCAGCAGCAGAGTGAGGTGATGAGAGTATGGGAAAGACAGGTGTGGAGGGGTGGGAGGGCCTTGTGTGTGTGGGGACAGCATAGGCAAAAGCTTGAAGGCTGGAGAGTACAGAACATGTGTGTGTACACATGTGTACACGTGTGTATGTGTGTTTAGAGGGAAGGGCCAGAGAAGCCGGTCTGGTAGGGGCCAGGGCCACAGCAGGGGACAGAACATGTGAGGTCCAGTGGCATTCTGAAGAATCTGTCTATTTTCTAGCAGGGGATGTGGCGCCATTGAAGGTTTCAGACAGAGGGAAAGACCTGTTTATTTTTGCCTTAGAAAGAGCCCTTGCCCCTTAAGCCAGTCATTCCACTTCCAGGACCCTGAGGTCATTGCCATTGGCACCATCATCACGTCCTCTCCTTTGTAGTAGTAACCATCTCTCCTTACATAGCAACCACGAGCTTCACTCAGAGGGTGGACTCATTCCCATTTTAGAGATGTGAAAACTGAGGCTCAGAGAGGGGAAGTGCAACTTCAGAATAACTTTCTGACGACTCTTGTTAATACATAATTACTTGGGTTTTAACTCTCCAAGGCCCATCTCTGTGGCCGAACAGAATCACATAGAGGTTAGGCCAGGCACTTTAGGACACAAAGCCCATTGAGCCAGTGGGTGGACAGGGAAGTGAAAGATGAGGTCCACTCATCCAGCCCCCTGTTCCTGCTCCTTGGAGGAAGAACTTGGGTTGGGTGAGGCTTGGGCAGAATCCAGAGTAATGGCTCCCCGCAAAGCCTGTGGCTGGGCTGGGCATGGCCTGGGATGGTGGCATGCCTGTCATGGGACACAGAGACCCCCACATCTGCCCATCCAAGCTAGGTCAGCTTGTCCCTTACCGTTCACCCCCAGCTGGTGCTTAGGGCACTGCTGTCATTCAGCCAGTAAATTTTGGCTTGCATAGAATGGTGTTGTAATATTGAAATATTTTCATGTTGACTGTCCCAGCCCCACCCCCACCCAGTTCCCAGCCCTCAACTCAGAACACCCCTGGTCCACATCTCCCCATCATCCAGGTACCCCTGGCACCCCAGAGGGTACCGGCATGCTGCTCAGGCTCTCAGACCTCTGTGTTCTGATTGGTCAGCACTTGGGCAGGGCTTGTCTCTCATGGCTTATTTTGCCCCCTTACCCTGCAGGACAGGAGTAAACACTCTCAGCGACCCTCGAAGGACAGAGTTAGGGAATTGAACCTGCTTCTGCTGGGGGGTTGGGGAGGCGCCAGCCAAAGGCATCTTCTGATTTGTAATACAGTTTGAGGCAAAGCACACATGTACTGTTTGCAAACTGAAGCTGTTGGATTTTGTTTCACAAAACTTCAGCTCTGAGACCATGAGACTTCCAGGGCTGGATGACCCCAAACGGAAGTTTAGGAATTAACCAAATAAGGGTCTTACCTGAAGTCATGTGACACCTAAGTGCAGAGCCAGGGTCTGTATGACCCAAAAGCGCTGGACTAGAGCTACCCAATAGAAATATAATTCAAGCCACACAATTTGTTTTGTTTTGTTTTTTGAGACAGGTCTCACTCTGTTGCCCAGGCTGGAGTGCAGTGGCATCATCATAGCTCGCTGCAACCTCACACTCCTGGGCTCAAGTGATCCTCCCGCCTCCGTCTCCCAAAGTGCTAGGATTACAGGCATGAGCCACCTCACCCAGCCTATGCCTGTACCTTTAATTTTTTTAGTAGCTTCATTTTAAAAAGTTCAAAGAGATAGGTGAAATCAATTTTAATAATACAATTTAGTACTCAATACATCCAAGATTTTATCATTTCATCTAATCAACATAACAATTGATGAGATATTTTACATTCTTTTCTTCCTACTGTCTTCGAAATTCGGTACGTGTTTTACACGCACAGCATATCTCTGCTGGGACTGGCTGCATTTCAGTGGCCACGTGTGGCCAGTGGCTAAGACCTGGACAGTGCACCTCTAGGCGTCAACTGCACCTTACTCGGCCTCGCAGTTTACCTGACTTCACAGACCCGGGCACACAGGTGTGGGAATGAGCCAGAGATGAGCGGCCTGGCCGGGCTTCCAGGGCCGACTGGCTGGGGCTCCCTGGAGGAGGCGGCAGCCTCACCCCACTGTCGGCCCCCAGGTCTGTGCAAGGGACACAGAGCCCAGAGGAGCCGGGAGCTCAGAACCGCCGGCTGCTGCCTGACGCCCCCAACGCCCTGCACATCCTAGACGGGCCAGAGCAGCGCTATTTCCTGGGCCTCGTGGATCTCGCCACAGTCTACGGGCTCCGCAAGCGGCTGGAGCACCTGTGGAAGACACTGCGCTACCCGGGCCGGACCTTTTCCACTGTCAGCCCTGCTCGCTACGCCCGTCGCCTCTGCCAGTGGGTGGATGCGCACACCGAGTGACCGGCGCGGCCCTCGCTCTGCGCTTCTGGACCCGGGACGCTCGCCTGCAGTTCCCCCGTTGGCCATCAGGGGGCAGCATCCCCTAACTAATCCCATAACAGCGCTGCCCCATTTGGTGGCGGTGCTGTGCCCGGCATCGTGCCAAGCACGCCCCTACTTTAGCTCATTTAATCCTCAAAAAATGCTATTATTCTCTTTTTACAGACCATGATATGGAGGCTCAGGGGGTGAAGGGACTGAGCAAGATCATTCAGCAATAAATGCTGGAGCCAGGAGTCGACCATGCCTTTTGGACTCCGGAACCTGTATTCTTAACCACCAACTCCCGCAGCGCATCCTCCTGCTCTGGGGAAGGGGGTAGGCTGAAGGCTCCAGCCCCCTTGTCGTCCAGATGGGGAAACTGAGGCCCAGAGATTTTAGGGGCTTACACATTGGTAAGTGGCAAGGTCAGCTGGAGAATTCAGGCCTACCGACTCCCTGCTCCTGACTTTGGGCTCTACTGGCCCTACTGGCCTCCCTCCAGGATGGCCCCTTGCTCCTGTTCCTCTAGGGGTGCAGGTGGGAGGATCTGGGGTCGTAGGGGCTTCCTGGAGCTCTGGGAGGCATTCTGATGGGCTCCATTATTGATCTCACGTGAGCTCTGCCCTCCTCTGGAAGTCACTTTTCTCATCTGTGAAATGGGGGCAAGGGTCAGTGGTCAGACCAAGGCTAGGTGCATAGACATCACCAGGAGCCTGCACAGCCCTGATCACTCCTTCTCCCCCCTCCAGGACACTCCAGCCTGGCCTCTGACCCCAGTTCTGACCATGCCCAAGCGGGCCTTTCCTCCAAAGCTACTCTAGGGTCTGGCTGTGTGACCAGGACAAGGTGCTAAACCTCTCTGTGCCTCAGTGCTCTAATCTGTAAAGTGAAAAGGATGAAAACGGACCTCATTAACTCATTAAACATTTATTGAGCACCTGCCATGTGACAAGCCCTCTGCTGGGCGATGGGGACCTGGGGATGAAGCAAGATGCAGAGATTCTGCCTTCACAGAACTCATGGGACTCACAGCCTGGGGGGACTCACAGACTGGGTGACAAAAGCAGCCTGGAGTGACAAAGCCTCAGGGAGAAGCACGGGACCATGGAGCTGGAGGAAGGGCTCCCACCCGATCGTTTGATGGATGGTGTTGGGAGAGGGGCTTTAACTTCTACTCTGAGACTAGAAGAGTCAGAGATGACCCTGGGAGAGTCTCGGACCAAGGGAACAGCAAAGGCCTGGGGTAACAGAAGCCTGGCATTTGAAAGAAAGAAAATATATCAGAGGGGGAGGAGGCTGTGTGGGTCAAGAGCAGCCCCCCAGGACTGGGCAGCACAGGACCTTGGGAAAGCCACTCTGCTGCACCAAACGCCGCTGTTTCCACTGAGCGTCAGATGCCCCAGAGAAAGATGGCTGCCAGGGAGGGGACAGCTTATGCTGCGGGGCTGGAGCGTGGGTTCTGAGAATATATATTTGTAAAATACTGACATCACTCCTACTTGTCTGGATGACCTTGAGTGATTGCTCAACCTCTCTGAGCTGGCATGATCTAAGTGGAAATTTCTTGCTCTTGCTTAGCAGGAAGTTAAAACAGAGTACGTAAGGTCACACTCAGGAGGTGGAAGGCCATAGAGACTCGGGGTGGCAAGGCATCGTGGCAGGAACTGGGGTCTGGCTCCGACAGGCTGAGTCAGAGCCCCAGAATCTCACTCCCATCCGTAGGGATGACTCAGCCCCCTCTCCGCCCTCGCATCTGTGGCAGGGCTTGAGGCTGGAGGTGGAAGTGACTTGTCCAAGATCTCATGGGACCCAGTACGCCTGGCTCTCCTAACTCGTGCATTCAACAGACATTATTGAGCACCTAGTGTGTGCCAGGCACTGTGCAGGTGCTGGAGGTGCCTGAGAACATGGCTGGCCTGACTCCACTAAGCAAGGAAACCAGTTAATAAAGAGGGTGATGTCAGAGTGTGATAAATACAGCGAAAAAACTAAACTGGGGTGAGACAAGGGGGACGGGGTGCAGAGTTGGATAGGGTGGCTGGCAAGGGCTTTTCTGAGGAGCCGATGCTTGAGCTGAGTGACAAGAAGGGGCAGCCATGTAACTAGAGCTGTCTAGCAGAGGATGCAATGAGCGGTATGACTGGGGGGGCGGGCAGGAGGTCACAGCGTGCAGGGGCATGTAGGCTGGGGGTGAGGAGAGTGGGGTTTTGCCAAAGCCAAACTGAAGAGTTTCATCTGGGACTGTGGGACTTCCTGGTCTTGGTTTCACTGTGAACTTAGGATCCTCATCTACTCTGAGAGCGCAGGCCATTTGGGCATATCCCTGTCTCTGTGTGGCCGTAGTGAGGAAGGAGTTGCCTCTCTGGGGAAGTAATCATCACCTCACCAGCCACTGAGGGTGAGGTGAACTTGGACCACTGAACTTGGACCACTGCTCCCCAGGCGTGTCCAGGCTGGGGTGGGAGGGATAAGAAGCTGGTTCTCCAAGGAAGCCCCGAAAGGGCAGGGCCACTGCAGCGGGTTTCCTCCCAGCCCCTGAACGGGATGAGGGAGGAATGGAGGCCGAGAACACAGGCTTAGGGGATTTGGCTTTGACCCTGGAGTAGGTTAGACTCAGAAGGTTGCTGAGCTGGGGATGGACATCCTGGAGTCCTGCCCATACCTGAGCCTCTGAGAAAAAGGAAAAAGGAGTTTGCAGTGGGGGCCGGAGCAGGGGCCAGCGCCCGCATGGGAGGTGGGTGTGGCACGGGTGGTTAGATGACCTTTCTAGGCAATGCAACATTTTGCAAAAAAAGTTCTCAGAGGGGAACTGTGCTCTCCACCTCACCACAGGCTCCTCCTCCCACTGTTCCACAGCGGCCCTTTCAGCGCCTGCTGCCGCCAGCCTGGCGCCTGAGGGCAGCCAAGGGACCCCATGCGAACCTTCCAATGCGACACATTTCAGCACCTGCTGGGCCTAGGCCGAACGGATTGGGGTTTGGAGGACACTCTGGCAAGGAGGCCTTTGGGAGGTAAGAGTAGGTGGTCGGAGCCAAGGCGAGTGTCCTCTATTTTACTTGCTGGATCTGGCAACCCTAACAGCTTGAAACCCAGGGCTACCGGACCCAAAGCTCCTGCTTAGCTTCCCTGCCCAACCCCCAATTTCAGACATGGAGAAATTCAAGTCTGGACGGCCGCGCAACACCGCATGGTGGCTCCGACACCGTCTAGGTCCCCTTCCTCTGCCGCCCTGCCACCGCCACCCAGAGCACGAGCCCGCTAGAAATGCCACAAGAGGAAAACAGAGGTGACGCCGGAGCTCCGACTCCGCCCCCGGCGCCGAGGCCCCGCCCCCAGCCCGGAGGCCTCGGCGCCTTTCACGCACGTCCCGCCCCGCCCCGCCCCGCCCTGCAGGCCCCGCCCCCGCCTCCGGCCCCGCCCTTTTGGCTTCCAGCCTCCAGCAGCCGCGGCCGCATCGCCGCCTCCGCCCCAGGGATCCAGCTTCCAGCCGGGTCGGCCAGGCCCGCGGGCCATGGAGCTCCGGGCAGCGGATCGCGAGCCTCCTGCGCGCCCCAACCTGCCCGCCCGGTTAGCGCCCGGCCGGGAGAGGGGGCGGTGGAATCTGGACCGGCGGTGAAAATCCCACGTCCTGCCCGCCCAGGCCTCTCCATTCGTCCTCCGGGTAGGGAGGTAGGATGGATGGGGGGAAATCCGGGCTCCTGGCTCCTGGCTCTATCTGCCCCAGACCCGATGGATGACCTTGAGCCGAGGGCCCCCCCTCCCGGCTGCCTCTTCTTCCCCACCTGCACAATGGGGATTGGGTGAGCGGGAGGTCTCCCAAAGGTCACCGATTCCGGCTCCTTTAGGATGGGGACACTGCTTTCCGGTGTTAGGAGACTTTAAGGCACTGGACTCCCAGGCACCATCTGCCTTGACCCCGGCCCGACCCCTCCTGCCTCACTTTTCCCAGGCAGCCTGGGACCCCGTCTGCCTTATTCCCCACTTATCCCTCTGAGTTTCTGCGTCTTGGCAGGTGTCCAGCTCCCACTCCTTCCCAGCCCCAGCCCTGGAGGCAGCCCCGGGACTACTGAGGGACGACGACAGCATGAAGGCTCCGGTAAGTGGTGGAAGGAGAAGGGGTCCCAGGGGACTTGGAGGTACCTTCCAGCAGCCTCAGCAGCCTCTCCTCCCCAGGACTGATGGTCACACCTGACCCCAGCGCTCCGGCCCCAAAGTCCAGCCTTGTTCTTGCAGGCTCTGTGGCTCCAAGCAGGTGCATTCCTTTGCGGTTCAGTGCCTCGCTCTCCTCCCCTGTGGAGTGGAGGTGACAGTACCTGGGGGTGGGAGATGGTGAAAGTTCAGGAGCCCCTGGTTGTGGGAGAGAGACCTGGATGTTGGGGGCAGTTAACCCCACTGTCTGAATCAAGGTCTCTGGGTCTCTGGTTCCTCGTTGGTGGGGGAGCAGGCGCTAGGCAGAGCCTGAGGCCTCAGGGGCTGAACCACCTCCGTGGAACAGCTGGCCACACAGAAGAGACTTATTTTTAGAAGCTGATGTAGCTGTGGGCTGAAAAACGGTGGGCCTCTGAGCAGGATGTGCCGCGGTCAGGGTGGGGGATGCTTTCACACTTCTGATTTTCAGAGAGCACCAGCCAGCTGCTAGGTGGTTTCTGAGGGGTGCCCTTGCGACTTGTGCCTTGGGCCTAGAAATTGGAGCCCAGAGAGACACAGGTGGTGACCAGTGTAGCCCAGCACACAGTGACAGACCCAGGGTTCTGTCCTCCACCAATCCCCTCCTGGAAAGCTAAGTCTGCCAGCAGGTCCAGCCCCAGGCCAGAAGGCCAGAGGGCCAGAGGGCTTCCTGGTTCAAATGGCCGTTGGCACTAGGTTTCTGGAGGCGGGAGGCTCTGGGCAACAGCTTTTCAATTATTGAAACCATTTCTTGAATGACGCTTCCCTGAATCCCTTTCCGCCTGCTGAGCTGCTGACCCAGATCAAGATCATCAGCTAGGGGGACTGCCACTGAGTCAGCTGGGGGCGGGATGGAGGCGGGGCCGGCCCAGGTGGCCCTGGTCCGTGCGCTGAAGGGGCTGGCAGCCCTTCTTATGTGCCACTCTCCTGTTCTCATGTGCACAGCACTCTAGAGCGTACAGAATGCTTTCACCGCTGTCCTCGCTGTAAGGTCCCACTGTGGGCGTTATCGGAGGACTCTATAGAGGAGGGATTTGTAGAGGAGGAGACAGGCCCAGAGAGAGGGAGAGCCACACTCAAGGCTGCACAGCACCCAGGCTTCTGCTTAAGAATGTGGGCTTTCCAGCCCATGTTTAAGGTCCCACATGCTGTTTCCTTGCCACGTGGCCTTGAGCTACACACTTCATCCCACACTGGTTTCCTTGTCTAGAGTACAGGGATAGTGACAGCGTTATCCCCAGGACCAGTGTGGCCAGAGCCTGGAAGCCCCAAGTAAGGCATGAGTAATGGAGACTGGGCCTTCTACTGCTATTCTAGGAGCTGCCGAAGTGGGGTCCAGGCCCGGGAAGCCGGGTGCACCCCCTGCAGAGGCTCCTGGGAGTCCTCCTGCCCCCATATACACCCCCCTGACCACTGTCTCCCTCAGGGCCGGCTCCTGCTCATCCTCCTGTGCTCCTTGGTCTTCTCTGCTGTCTACATGCTTCTGTGCTGCTGGACCTGCCTGCCCCTCTGCCTGGCCACCTGCCTGGACCACCTCCCTCCCGGCTCCAGGCCCACCGTGCCGGGGCCCCTACACTTCAGTGGCTATAGCAGCGTGCCGGATGGGAAGGTGAGTCGGCCAGGCAACATGTCAAGGGCAGGCCCGGCTCCCCTAACTCTAGGGGGTATTGAAAACTGGACTTGTGCCAGGCCAGACTGGACCCCAAGCTTGGCCCCTTTGCTCACCTGCTGTGTGATCCAGGCCAGTTACTTCACCTCTCTGAGCCCTGAGCTATAGGAGGAAATGGATTTCTTATTGAGCAAATGTTGCTTGTCTGCTTCAGCTGGATGCTGGGGGAAAACGATGAGTTGGGGCGGCTGCCATCCTGGGACTGCCAGTCCAGTGGGAGAGACGGACACAGCACAGTGTGCTATGTGCATTCTAGCTATCTTCCGATTCATCTCTCTGCACACACAATCCGTTCAACAAGTGTGTACTTGGCACCTGCCATGTGTCCGGCCTCGTGCCAATGGCTGCTGAGGATAGGACGTGGGGGCCCAGGGGTGACGAGACAGGCACAGCCCCTGCCCCATGGTGCCCACCGCTGCATGCTTGCTCTGCCTGGCGAGGTGCAGAGCCCTTTGCACCCCTCACCCTGACTTTGGCAGCCCCGCCTGGTGGGTTTCTCCTCCAGCGAGTGCCCTCAGAGGGGTCTGTATCGATGCAGGGTGTGGCACGCTCCCAGTCTGAGTTTGATGGCGCTGTGAGTGGCAGGCACAGGAGGCTGCTCAGGGACGCTGGCTTGGAGGACACGTGTTTCAGGTCTTCATCTGTCTGAGCCTCCGTTGCCTCCTCGTCTGTCAAAGCCGATTGTTGCAGTTCCTGCCTCTGTAGGGTTGCGGAGACCATTCAGCCGGACGATTCGCGGACAGTACACAGAACACACGCTGTACAAATCTTTGATGAAGAAACAGAACAACTCAGGGGCTCAAACTCTCATGAGCCACAGAATGGGCTCATGTGGGACACAATGCACAAGTGGGACAAATGTCCGGGTGGGCTGGGTGGACGCTGTCCCATCTGCCACGTGGTGGCCAGTGTTTACTTCAGACACACAAACCTCACAGGGATGCGAGCCCAGGGAGGCCGGGTCCTCCTCGTTTTCCTTCAGAGAAGCAGGCAATCTAGAATTTGAATGTCAAAAAGGCCAATTCTTATAAATTAAGAATTAATGAAAAAATTTAAGGACCTTGTGAGGGACAAGCAGAATACCTCCTGGGGCTGGTGGTGACCTTGGATCAGAACAGATCCCGGGTTGTTAGGCAGGCCCAAGGCGACGGCAGAAGAAGGAAGCCTTGTTCTCTGTTGCTGTGGTGTGGAAAATGGCCGAGTCTCTAAATCAACATTATGTCGGCTATAAAATGTCCCTAAGTGGGATGTGACGGTGTACTTTTTATTGGCTGGAATTAATGTCCGTGCCACTTTCCTTGCCTCTGTAAACCTGGGATCCTCCAGGAGGCCGCGAGTGTGGAGGGAGGGGCACGTCTCTCTCTGGGAGCCTGGGCCCCTGACCGCCAGGGGATCTTGCAGGCTGTGGCTCAGCTTCTGCCGCCCGGGTTGGGGGGGCGAGATGACAAGCTAGGGTAGGGCCCTCTCTGTGCGCGGGGTCTGTGCATATCACCTCCAGGCATTTAGAAAAATTTCATCAGCTTCGTTGAGGCATAACTTACACAAAACGAAGTTCACCAATCTTAAACGTACGTTTCAGTAAGTTTTGGCAAATGTACACAGTTGTGTAACAACCACAACCGTCATGAGTAGAAATTTTCTGTCACCCCCAAAGTTCTGTCGTGCCCTTTGGCAGCCCTCTCTGGGCTGATTTTCAGGAGTCTTTTTTCACATCTGTATTGTGTGCTAGGTTTTCAGGAGTTTCGATAGAGGATTATTGGCTTTCACGGGGGAAAATATCATCCTCTCCGTGAGACTGGGGCACCATGCCCGGCCCCTTGCACTATCTGACTCCTTCACCTGTGTGCCACCAGCTCTCTATTTTCTCCAGGCATTTCTCATTGGAACCTCACAAGTAGGGCAAGTAGACGCTGTTTGCACCCCCATTTTTACAGATGAGGGAATTGAAGCTCACAGAGACCGAGTGACTTGGCCTCAGGCCGCACAGCCAGGAAGGGGCAGAGCCAGGATTCAGGCTCAGGACCAGAGAGTCCCAAAGCTGTCGTGGGCACTGAAGACCCCCACTTTTACTTAGAAACTGGGCACAGCATGGGTGGGGCTCGGGCGGCGGAGGGCGTGGCCTAGGGGTAATTGTGAAAAGCTGAGGCTCGTGTTTACTTATGACATCCAGTCTGTGCCAGGCACTGTTCTAAGTATCTTATAAATATTTGCTCACGTAACCCTCAAAGGGCTTGATGTAGGGACTGTTAGGGCCTCAGAGACGGCAGCAGGGACAAGGACCACGAATATGGCTGATGAGAAAGCCAGGGCTGTGAGTGCAGAATCTTAGCTCTCCCACTTGCTGTCAACGTGACCCTGGGAAAGCCACCCCAGCTTCCCAGCCTGCAAAATGGGTTAATAACAAACAGTCCGAGCTGATACCTGATCAAGCAAAGTCCACGGGTGTTTCTGGGGGGAGGAGCAGGGGTGGAAGCTGGGTGCACTCACCTCTCTTTTTTTTCCCCTCTACCTCCCCCTGCAGCCACTGGTCCGAGAGCCATGCCGCAGCTGCGCCGTGGTGTCCAGCTCCGGCCAGATGCTGGGCTCCGGCCTGGGCACCGAGATCGATGGTGCGGAGTGCGTGCTCCGCATGAACCAGGCGCCCACCGTGGGCTTTGAGGCGGACGTGGGCCATCGCAGCACCCTACGCGTCATCTCGCACACGAGCGTGCCGCTGCTGCTGCGCAACTACTCGCACTATTTCCAGCAGGCCCGGGACACCCTGTACGTGGTGTGGGGCCAGGGCAGGCACATGGACCGGGCGCTCGGTGGCCGCACCTACCGCGTACTGCTGCAGCTCACCAAGATGTATCCAGGCCTGCAAGTGTACACCTTCACCGAGCGCATGATGGCGTACTGCGACCAGATCTTCCAGGACGAGACGGGCAAGAACCGGTGAGCCTGGGGCCTACCTGCCTGCTGGGGTCTCCCTGGCAGCTGGGGGCCTGTCCTCTCCAGCAGCCTCTTGTCCATCCGGGGTCTGCTTCGTCAGGCCCTGGGGATCTGCAGTGATGGAAGCAGACACGGTCCTGCCCTCCCATGAGGGCGCAGGAGGCAGAGGGACTGTCATTCATGGAACTTGCACACAGATCCCAAATGGTGGTGAGGGGCACTGGGCCTTGTGAGCACCTGGTAGAGAGCACTGGCCAGCGTGGGGAGGCGTTAGGGAGCACTACCCTTTGGAGGGCATGCTCTGAGATCTGCCTTGTCTCCGACATCCTCTTCGAGCACGGGGCATTGGGTTAATCACTCTGCGTTTGAGATCTCATTTTATCCCATACCCAGGAGAGCACCCCTGACCCCTGCCGGCCCCTCCTTCACGCCCCTGCTCCTCCCCCAGCCTCCAGAACTCAGGAAATCGAACTGTGCGCCTTGGCATTTTAACCGAAAACTTGGGCTGAGCCCCTGACTCCCCTTGTACTGTCACATGTAATGGCCCTGCGTGCCACCTTGACCTAAGCAAGCCTCCAACTTCTCCCACCCTCGAAACAGCCCCTGGCAGGTCTCCCTGCCACCTCCCTTGCCCCTGGCATCTGAGCTCAGCTGCAGTGAATTCATCCCATGAACACCTGCCCGTGACCTGCCAGCAGCTTTGTACCCACAGGGAGAATGAAGCCCAGTCTGCCCACCTGTGGCCTGCAAGTTTGTATGATCCAGCCCCTGCCTGCCTCTGTGGCCTTGGCTCCTTCGCTCACTCCGCCCCGGTCACGCTGGCCGCTGGCGCTTCTCGGAGATCCCTGCGTGTCTCCACATGCAGGCCTGCGCGTGCCATGAATGTTTTCCTCCCATATCATCTCGCTATGGGCTCCTCTTGCTACTCAGGGCTGGATGAAATGTCACCTCCTCTGGGAAGCCCTCCCTGGCCTGACTTCTAAAGGAGCACCTCCTGCCCTGACATTCTTTTATGTTTGTTTGTTTTTTTGAGACAGAGTGTCACTCTGTCTCCTGGGCTAGAGTGCCATGGCGTCAGCCTAGCTCACAGCAAACTCCAACTCCTGAGCTCAAGCGATCCTCCCACCTCGGCCTCCCAGAGTGCTAGGATTACCGGCGTGAGCCACCACGCCCGGCCTTGACATTCTTTATGTTACTCCTTTGTTTCCTTGTCATGGCAGCAGGTGTCACCCTCTAACATCATCTTATTTATGTATTTGTCTTCTTACCTTGGGAATGCTGGCACCAGGTGTGGCAGGTCCAGGGCCCGCACGGCGCCCGGGAGGTGTGGGTTGGATGCATGAACTAGCTCATGCCCACTCTGTGGAGGTTGACGTGGTGGCCCTCAGCAGGGAGGGTGCCCAGTGCTGCTACCCCAGAGAGCTGAGGCCTGGGGCCACACAGCCCCTCACTGCAAGTGGGGTGTGGGGGCTGGGCTGACAGTGTTCCTTCCCCATAACCACCCAGAATTATCCCCATTTCACAGATGGGTCTTGAGGCTCTCAGAGAGGTTAACAAGCAAATCTGATGCCCCACAGCAGAGTCAGGATTCAAACGAAAGACCATCTGGAAGACCACACAAGTCCCCCAACTTTTAACCACCGTGCTCTGCTGCCTCCTGCTGTCTCCCAAGCCTGGTCCCTTAGATGAGGAGAGGATGTGGCCAGAGCCCCTACACCCATCATCCGGGGCTTTGCTCAGGCTCTCGAAGCACAGCTTGGCTTAAGCCCTGCTTGGGTGGTGGGGAGTTGACCAGGCCTGGGTTGTGTCCAGCTCCACCTTTTGTTCCCTGCTGCCTTGGGCCGGCTCTGCCCCCAGCCTGGCTCCCCCAGGCGCGCTCTGTAGAGGTTGAGGTGAGGGACCCTTGGCTGGGAAAGTACCAAGCCCCGCTTCCCTGAGAGGGCTGAGGCCTGGGGCCGCCACAGGGCCCCTGCCCCATGCTGGGTGTTGGAGATGCCCGACTGATGTGTCCCTCCGCCCCACCCAGGAGGCAGTCAGGCTCTTTCCTCAGCACCGGCTGGTTCACCATGATCCTTGCCCTGGAGCTGTGCGAGAAGATTGTGGTCTATGGAATGGTCAGCGACAGCTACTGCAGGTCAGACCAGCCAGGCCCCGGGCTGGAGGGGAGCGGGGAGGGCTGTGGGCCCCTGCCCAGACCTGAAGCCAGAGGATTTAGGAGCTGTGGGGCGCAGGGTGTGTGGACTTCACTGTGGGTGGCCAAGGCACAGACACCCCTTGGGCACTGGGCCCTGCGAAGGAGCTCAGTCCCTGAACGGGCTCCCGGACCAATCCCAGCGCTGTGGTGTGGCCTCCGGCCCGTCCTTCCACCCCCGAGCACCTCCAGTTCCTCGTGTGTAAAATCGGGAAAAGCGTGGCAGCTTCCTCAGAAGGTTGTTGAAATATTTAGGGAGAGAATAATCTACAAAAGTGCTTACCACAAATCAGGGCATATCAGTGATACGCTACAGACAAGTTTTTACATTCAATATTGTTTCAACATCATAATATCAAGTTCAGATACAGTTATGGTATTATAACATTGTTATGTTACTATATTTCAATATTATTGTAACTAATGAGTTCAGAAAAGTCCCATGTTTTCACCCCGTGTTCTTTGGAGCTAGCTTGTTGCACACATGGGCGAGATGGCAGGCCCCTGTGTACCCCAGCCATGGCCCTGGCCTCACCATCAACATCAGGGAGGTGGGAGTGCAGGGCTGGTGGCTCTGTGCCGTGGGAGCCTGGTACCAGCAGGGCACTTTGCAGCCTTTATCTTCTGACCTACACTCTCACCCTGGAAAGTGGGTGTCACCATCTCCATTTTATAGGCGGGCTCTTAAGGCTCACGAGGTACACCTTCGGCCCAGAGTCACCCAGCTTGTAAGAGGCAGAGCCGGGGCTTCAGCCCTGGCCTTTGGGATCTGCAGGCTGTGCTGCTCCTTCCGTGTGTCCTGGCCTTCCTGGGACCAGGCATGGGTCTCCGTGGTGGTGGCAGGGTCTGGTGGGAGGTGGGTGGGTTCCGGTGTCCCACATCCATCCCGCAGCAGCGCTGCTCCCCACCCCACAGGGAGAAGAGCCACCCCTCGGTGCCTTACCACTACTTCGAGAAGGGCCGGCTGGATGAGTGTCAGATGTACCTGGCACACGAGCGGGCACCCCGAAGTGCCCACCGTTTCATCACTGAGAAGGCTGTCTTCTCCCGCTGGGCCAAGAAGAGGCCCATCGTGTTCGCTCACCCATCCTGGAGGACTGAGTAGCCCCTGTCACCCAGCCAGCCACCATGCCTTCACCAGTCTCTGTCCCATCCCAGGCCACCACACTCCACCGAAAACATTTAATGTATGGATCCTGACTCTAGCCACCTGCCCAGTGGACCTAGGGTTCCTTCTTGCCCTGCCCTGAGGACACCTGGAGCCATCTCGGGCCTCACGACTTGAAGGGGAGTGGAGAGGGGTGCCCTGTCTCTACCCTACTCCCTAAGCAATCCACAGCACTTTGGGGTTCCTCCCACCTCCTGGTCTATCAAGTGGCCTTTGTGCCTGGGGCTCATGGCCCACCACTCACCAGCATCGTGACCTTGTGCCAGTCCTGGTCCTACCCCCCAGCCGCCTTTGGTGCCACACTTCTCAGGCCGGTTGCCCTGGTTAGGGCGGTGCAAGCCTGGGGTCTGTTGGATGAAGGGGCCTTTGAGCCTGACTGCCAAGGCCATATCAGGAGCTTACGGGTAAATGTGTTTTCTGGACACTGTCTCCAGCGTGGTGATATGTCTGGGGGTGGGGGTCGTGGCTTCTGTCCCTGTCACAATCCCATAACCTGTTGACTCCAAGCCCTGAAGCCCTTTCCCAGCAACCTCCGGCGGATGGTGCCAGCGCAGCCCCTTCCCCAGCAGGTCGGGCTCCTCCAGGGTCTGGCCCCTTGGCTGCTCTGGCCCAGGAAACTGATCCCAAGTCAGAGGCTTCTCTGGGACCCCAGCTCTGCGCCCAGTGGGAGGGGAGGCAGGACCTGGGAGGAAGTGACTTCCTGGTCCCGTGGATCAAATTCCAAAGAGATAGGCGGTTAAATTCCCTATTAACTCCGGGGTCAGTCCCTCTGCAAAGCAGGAAGGTTTGGAGTGGCAGGCGGGTGCTGGGAGGGGCTGCTCGGAGGTGAGTCCATCCCACCTCACCCTCAGCCTGGGGCTTCCTTCTCTGAGCTTCTATTTCCTCACCTGACTTTGGCTTTTGCACCTGTTAATGAGGGTGTGCCGCCTCCCTGAGAGGGGGCTGGCGTCAGCCCATTTTACAGATAAGGTGAGGCCACTCAGCTAAAGGTCGACAGCCATAGAGCGGCTGAGCTGGATGCAATCCCAGGTCTGCGAGCTGAGCCAAGGACCTCGGCTTGCCCCCGCAGCTCGGAGGGAGCCCACAAGGGCTTGCCCCCTGCCTGCCCTTGTTCCTTTCTCTGGAGACCAGAAGACTAACAGAGCCCCCCAGGCCTTGGGCTCTCAGCTGAGATGGAGCGCTGGGGTTCTCGCTCCCGGCTCCAGGGGTCAGGGCCCTGTGCTTAGCTTAATACATACTCTGCTGTCGCCAACTTGAAATTCTTAATTTTTGTTAACAGGGGGCCTTGCATTTTCATTTTGCACTGGAGCCCACGCATTATGTAGCCAGTTGTGCCGGGGGCCCTGGGTGACCCAGCACACTCTCCCTACCACCCCTGGCCTTATCAGGAGCCTCTGGAGACCTGGCACTGGGCCCACAGCACTGCCTTTGCACCCTGCCTCCCCCTACCCAGTGGCAGGCGGGCCCAGAAGGCTCAGCAGGCAGGCGTGGGAGGAGGGAGGAGAGCCCTCAGCTGGTGAAGGGGCAGCCACTGGAACGCTGGAACCACCGCAGCTGCTGGCCTGGGGGTGGCTGGGCTCTGAGCAGGTGTTGGGCCAAGGAAGGGTGGGTGTAACTTGGCAGGTGGGGGATTGGGATGGGAGGTCTCCAGGCTCAGAAGGAGGGCCTGGAGTCAGCCCGGGGCCTTCTTCTGGTGCCACTTCCTGCTGTGGGGCCCTGGTGGCTTAGCACCCTTCCCTGGGCCACAGTTTTCTCATCTATGAAAGGTTAAAATAATCCCCACCTCATGGATTATATGAATGCAGAGACAATGGACTGTCCCTGAACTTAGGGCAGGGTTGGTGCTTGATATGTGGAGCTGTCATTTTAAATGGGGTCGTCTGCGGCCCTCGCCCCCACCCCACCCCACCCCCACCCCGCCTGGCCCCGCCCTGCCCTGGTGGTAACAGGCAGGAAGCACTCCCACCCCATGCGTTGTCTCCCTGCTCACAGCCTCATCGGGCGTCCAGGGCCTGGGGTCTGCTGGGATTTGAACTCAACCCCCTCCTGGAAGGGCACCTCCTCTTCCTCCTCCATCCTTCCCAGGAAACGCTGGCCCAGCCCTCAGGCCTGGAGACACAGAGCCTCCTTTGTCCCTGCCTTGCCCCTGGGTGGGGTGTTTACTGCTGGGTTGGCCCAAATAGTGTGTCTTTCTGGGGGTGGTGACCTGGCAGGAGTGATGCATCGGCCACTTCCTCTAGGCAGACGAAGATGACACCTAACAGGTGTGGTGGCTGGTTTCAGGTCTGCTGAAGGCTCTTCCAACCTCCCGACGAGGAAACCGAGGACTCTGCTCTTGCCACAGCGGGCCCTGCAGCTGCTAGAAGGTGAGTGGGGTGCCGGAGCCTCCCCACAGCTCTGGGGGGCACCTCGGTGTGCATCCCCTCTTTGGGCTTCTCTTTTCCTGTCCACATTCTGGTTCCTGTGCCCCTCAGCAGACTTGCTGGGGACCTGCCTACTTCCTCCTGAGCCCGGAGGGAAGCCAGGTGAGCCACACAGCCTGGAGGTGGCGTAAGGGGCCCCTTGCTCAGAAGGGCGCTGGGCCAGGCCAGGAGCTCATGCTCAAACCTCACATATGTAGGTGAGGAAGGGAACATCAGGCCTTCTGGGTACTGGTGTCCAGTGTCCTCTGTCATCTGGGCCCGTCACCACTCCAGCCTCTGTGAAGAACCAGGTACTTCCTCATTCCAGAGCCAGTGCCTCTGCTGGAGCCCAGGTCTCGGGACCAGGGGGCTATGGAGCAGCTCTGGTGTGAGGCCCCCACCTGCAGGCCGCCCTCACTGGCCTGTCCTCCAGAGGGAGAGAGGCTCCCGGCCTGCCTCTGCCCAGGACCTGCTGGGGTATCTTGGGCAAGTTCTGTCCTCTCTCTGGGCCTTGATTTTGCTTTCTGTGAATGGGGAACTGGGTAGCAGGGGAGGAGATCTTCTAGAACTACCCAGAACACCATGGAAGGGAAAAATCATACCATCTTGAAGAAGTTTGCTAAGGGGCAAGAAGAGGGGGTCACATGCCAGACCAATACCCGTGGGGCAGGAAGGGCTGAAGCAGAGGCCAGCTCCCCAGACCGTGGGGGAGGGGCCGGAGGGAGGGGCTACAGGGTTGGCCACAGTCACCATCCATGAATGTCCTGTGTGGCCTGGCCCAGCTCTCATAGGCCTGGGGCCTCGGTGTAGGACAAGGCCTAGTGGAATCCCAGCCCTGCCACCCATGTGTTCTCTGAGCCTCAGTTTCTTCGTCTGGAAAGTGGGGTAACAGTGGTACCCATCTCATAGGTTATTTTAAGGATTCAATGAGGTATGTTTGCAAAGTGCCTAGCACAGGAGTAAGCTGCTCTTTTTCTCGTCCTTATTATTACTGTTGACTTGGTGGTCATTGTTCTTGGGGCTCAGCAAGGGGAGCAGCCCTAAAGCAGAGCCTCCCAGGGTGAGCCCGGGCCCAGGGTCATGGCAGGTCTGAGTGGGCAGCTCCAGGTCCGGATCTGGTCCAGGAGCTGGGTTGAACTACTCACTCTCACTTCCTGGGTACAAGTCACTGAGCTGGGTTAGGGAGGATAGGGTTAGATGTCCCCATGCCTGGTGCAGCCTGCTGGGTGGCCTTAGGCTAGGGGCACTCCTTCTCTGGGTCCCAGCAATCAGGTTCCTCAGGCTCCCCACCTGACCGCCCTGTCCCCGCTCCTCGCTCCTCTCCGTAGTTTTCCATCCTGTGCCTGGTGGGGCAGGGCCAGGCTGTCCTGGGCCAGGACAGGGATGGGGCTGAGGCTTAGGAATCGGATGTAGGTGGGGAGGGGCTGGCAGGAAGGGCCACCCTCCTCCCCTTCCTGAGGGCCATGCCTTTATAGCCTGGAGGACCTTGGAGGACTGCTGACTTTTGTTTTAATTGAAAACAAAGTGTTATCAACTTACCATGTTAGTACAGTGCAAACATCCTAGAATTTTATAGAGGGAAAAGTAAAGGTGGCACCTAACCTTCCTGTCCCACTTCCACTCTCCAGGGGAAACTACTGTCGATAGTCCCAAGTGGATTCTTCCAGACACTTTATGTGTACATTTACAATTATCCACAGATGGTTGTATTTTTAAAAGACAAGCAAAAAAAAAAAAA